GCTGTTGTCAATTATGAAAAAGAGTATCGAGGACTGGAAGCTGTCTATTTATTAGGCTATAAGTGAGGTATAAAACAATTCCTATTCAGAGATCTGTAACCCTTTGATATGAATTGAAATATAAACAAATGCACACCATAGCCACTCTGGTTATGTCTTCATTAGTGTCTTTTTTGAAGCAGTCCTGCAATTTTGAAGCAAATCTCATAACTGTTCCTTATCATATGCTGATTGATATGTAGCCTTGGGCTTATTTGAGGGAAATTAAACTGAAAGTTTTATTCCAGAAGTCTACAAAATTGTCTTTTGGCCAACATTGAGCCATGAATGTATGTGGTAGATTCATCTGGCCCAGGGAGCCCTACCTAAAATAAAATGCCCTGGATTTCACATGGTGAAGATACGGGGTCTCAGCATCATTAACTGCTTTGATTTAGTGATCTGCCAAATTACTTGATAATATTATTTCATTATTGCTCCCTAATACCTCACGATGTTTTACGTGCCTTTCATTGCATGTTCTCGTCATATCTCCTATTCATTCTTCATGTACCGTGACATGCACTTTGTAGAGTTGCTGTGTAGGCATAAGACTCAGGTTATTTTGAACCAAAGAGAAAGAAACCCAAAGGTAAAGGATCAACCTAGTGAGCCCATTGTCAAAGAACTCCTTTTCCTTGTTTCAGTACATGCAATTCGTGTGCAAGAGTAACAGCAAGGTCCTCCAATAAGATGATCTCAAGTAGATGAAGTTTTTCAGTCTTTACAATCCACAATTTATATTCCATGTGAAAGGCACAGCAGCAAAATCTGTCTCTTAAAGCAGATTTTGTAATATTCAATTACACGAGCTTAGTTGCGCCCATTTTTTTTAATAGTCTAAACACTGGGTTGTGTTACTAATTTCTTTCTTTAAATGGATTTAGATTCCAGTCTTATGAGGGTGACATGCTGTCCCTGATCAAGACATGGTGAAGGAATTAACCGTGGTGACGTTTTCATATTTGAGATTAAAAGAAGACACACATCTGCCAAATGCAAGCAGAAGGAAAAATCTTGTTACTTTTTCTAAATCCTCTGAAAGCAGCTGGATTTTTAACTTATCCAAATTGTGAAATTTTGTTAAGATTGATGTCCACATAACAGTGTAGAGAAGGACAGAAAATCTTAAGAATTCAGGATGTGTGCTAGTCTCATAGGAGAAAAGGCAGAAAATAAAGCAAGAGTGCATTTTCTCTGTAGTGGAATAAGCCAATTACTTCCCTTTAACTTCACCCTTATTCAGACGCTTGTTTAAAGACTGCAGATGTTTACAGTTACTGACTATGATTTGTTTTTCTCATTTATTCTGGATACATTTCTTATCTTACTGGGTTTTTCCTGCACAAAATCTGAGCAAAATTTAGAGGCTCCACAGTGTCATCTGATTACATTCCTTCCGCTGTCTCCGCTGGCTCTTCAACTACCTCAGCCCAGCATGAGAATCAGAACCTGGAATAATGTGCCTGGACCTGGGAGATGTAAAGGGAAATTTTTTCACCCTTCTGCCATACCAGTCATGATAGTCCTGGCTGGCTTAGCATAAAAGCCTTGTGTGTTTGGGATCACCTTGGAGTCTGGGCACAGTAATGGGGCGAGTGAGATGAACCTATTTACTGGTTTCTAAAGCTCTAAGAAATTAATATTGTTTGCTTTGGTGCATAGTTCTTGACCCATCTGCTGTAAGCAGCATAAGAACAAGAATCAAATATAAACTGTTCTAAGACCATGCACCATGGCAGGTGGCCTTTGCAGAATGTGCTTTCAGTTACACTGCATCTCCCATTTGGGAATAAGGAACATCATCAAAGAGGCAGCAATAGATGTGGAAGTGGAGTTAGGTACATTATCATCAAATACAAAGGTGATGCTTATTTGTACACTCAGTTCTGTACACTTCTTCTATTACAGGACCATGTGCCTACTAACACTGTGATTTTGCAAAGTTGGATTTCTTTTGAAATATGTGTAGTTCTCTATGGGATGCTTCATGCAGGATGTTTTGCATCCTGATTTATGGAGGACTAATCTCTGCAAGATCTGTGACTCTTGCTGAAGAAATACCCACAAAGCAAATATATGTATCTAAAATGATGTTATCTTGGATAGCTTCATGTGGTAGTAGAATGGTAAACAGCAAAGCTGTATCCACCCTTACTCTAAATTTGCTCTGAGTTACACCTAATAGGGACTTATCATTATGATCACACTGGCAATGACAGTGTGCAGTGTGTATTTCGAAGAATTTGAACAAATAATGTGTGTCCCCAGATGGATTTAAAACGCAGAGTGCCCCTTTTTAGTTTTCTATAGACTGCTGAATCAAAATGCAGCTACAAGAAAGGAGATGAGCAAACATTTGAATGATATGAGATGGCAGCTACAGTTGGCTTAGAGAACTGTTCTGCCTCTGGCACTTTGGATCATGAACTTCATCACATCCAAGAAATGTTAACAGCTCGGCCCTGGGGCTTTAGCAGCTCTGGGTGTCTTTGTGGGGTTTGTACTGGCAGCTCCCCCATCAGTGTGTGGCAGTTGGCATTCTGGGTGGCTCACATGTGGGAGGGTTCCAGCCTGCCATTCTTTTGCAGAAACACCATGATGGGCATCTGAGTGACATTTTAATTTGATAATGAAAGCGCCATTAAATCAGTAAAGAGAAAAATGCCTGTGTTTGTGGCACAAGATATTTTGTGTGACCACTGAGGTCATTTGAGACAGGCCTGCTGTTGAAATAGTTGCACGAGTTTGCCAGCGATGACTCACTACCGTGGTGGCTACAGATAATTCCAATTGCTTTCTACTTGTTTTTGAAGATTTTGGTGTTAGGCGTTTCTGTATGTTGCCTAAACAATAAAATTCCAGCAACACTTAGGCTCGCTCGATAAAGATTCCCCACATTTGGTCATATCTGAAGTGCTGCAACAAGCTGTGATCCATACATTCTGCTGTCCCTTTTGACTGTGTCAGAAGGGGGTATATTTTATCACTACTAACCCCCTCAGTTTTGTCAGCAACAGGCCTTTCCTTGATGTGCCTATTCCTGAAGAGGTCCTGACTGGAGTCAGAACACAAATCGTTCAAGTGCAAGTCTTCGGGATTCAAAGTTCTAGATGCTCACATCTCAGATGCTTTCTCATCTCACATTTAGAGAAATGTATTATAATATCACCTATGAAAACCAAACTCGTGGATTCGGGTTGTGCTAGATAATATTACACCTGTATCTCTCTCTCCATGTCTGTATAACATATTTTGAGATATCTAAACTTCGTTGTAAGTAATGGTCAGTGTAAATGACCAAATGTATTGTTCTGCCATCCTACAGATGAGGCATTTTGATAGTAAAATATTATGTGTTTGGATAGTAACTATGCAGCATATCTGTGGCAGAATTAGAATTGGATCAATGTTCCTGAGCTTTTTCTGGTGCTTTTTGTCTGAAAAGATCTTAGGACATCAAATACTTCCAGTGGCTATTTATTTTCTCCAGTTTATTTTCTCTTCCGGATGTTAAACGTTTAGATTTTCATTCAACAGAAATAGATCCTATTCTTAAAGAACTATAGAGGTTCTGTATATATGTATATATAAAGTAGTGAAGGGGTTCTGTGTATATAGAGAATTCTCCTCTAGTTTAAGAACTATAGGAGGTTTTGTACTGTGTGCATCTAGTTGTAAAATTAACTGTCCATCTGTTGTTCATCCAGTCAGAACTGGCTACTGACCTCCTGGGACGTGATGCAGGACCAGTACAAGAAAAACAGTTACTACCAGTTCAGCATGGAGTTACTGTCATTCCAATATGTAATTTTGAAACTCCCTGAACCCATGCTCAGTGCATTTGGTAGTAGTTTGCTAGTTAAGCGATATTGATGATGCCTGGAAAAGAACAAGGTTGTGATAGCAGTGGGTTCTTCAAAATTATTTTTGTGGGTCTACTCTGCAGATCCGTACTGTCATCTTCATTTGACTCCTACTGTTGACCTGTAGGGAAAAAACCTTTCTTACTTGCCTACTTTTAACAGAATGGGGTAGCAAATACAGTATTATTGATCGAGTCTTTGCAGTAGTTAACACTTGTGGCTTCCACTGAATGTCAAGCGTGGAACTGTAAATGCTTTTTTTTTTTTCTTTGCAGGAATATTAACAATTCTCATACTGTGGCTGGCTTTAAGGCCTCTAATGTTACTTGGAAAACACAAGTGAATTAACCCTTGTAATGTTTTCACAAAATGGATGAATGTAAAAATGTTACAGGTAGTGAATAGGGACACAAATAAAATTAAATGTTTTTTCCAGATCACTCAGTAGGTCTGTGGTAAAAGTATGTACTGGACTGAAATATCTTTTATTGAGTTGCTAATCTTGTTCCTGTACAAAAACTGAATGAAAAAAACCCCCAGGATTCTAAATTTGGCCCAAAAATCACTAGCCAAGCTGAATTAAGACACAACAAAGCAGCAGCAATGTCGTCTCTTCCAAATACTGAAAGCACTCATCCCTTGATGATAGCCTGTCAGAACTGTTTGGAGTTTTGTTTCAAATGCTTGAAAGGTATCTTCTAAGTAGTTTTCTAGATAATACTTTTCTATAATTTTAACTTTGATCATAACTTAAAAAAATAGCTGAAGCAAAGTGCCATTTATGGTTTTTACCTTTTAAAAGGTTGAAGTCTGGAATGATATATTGATATTTTTCTTCCATTAACTTTACCTTGCTAGGTATAAAAATCTTTCAGCAAAACTAGTGATTTAGTGGTATTTCAGATGTCTTTACCCCTCTCCTCTGTTTGTTGTTCTCCTGTGATGCTGTAGTGCAACAAATAAATAAGGGCTATGTTTGCTGTTACTCCCTGCAGCTGTTTTTCAACAAAGCTATAAGGAGAAAAATAACTTGGATGATTGCAAAAGCCAGTTCGTAGCCAGGAGAGTCCTAATTCTCTACTTGTTTTTCCACAGGCCTCCAGAATTGGCATCAAAGTATGCAAATTTCTCTGAGGGAGTGTGCAAACCAGGCTATGCCTCAGCGCTCATGACTGTCATCTTCCCAAAGTGAGTAAATACGGTGGGGTTTTTTTCCCCACTTCCCCTGATGACTTCTCATCCTTCAAGGTGGGTCGTCTGCAGAGTTTGTCTTCAGAGGTGTCATCACTCAGTCACTTGATTGGTTCAAGGGGATACCTGTGTTGAAATTCTGGGCAATGTGAGTGGTAGTGGTTTAATTGACTTCAGTCTGACCAGGAGTTTGCTCAAAGAGTAGAGCTCTGGGTGCTGAGTAATAAAACAAATTATGTTGTCAGTGTGTGATACAGATGTGTGGTCAAGCTAACTGCTGCTACCTGATGATGCAACAATGAGGAAGCTTTAGTCATGAAGTGAGAGATTAAATTATCTGGAATAGTAAAGTTGTGGTGTTGGATTGGTTTTTTTTTTTATTCTTGGGAGAACAGGGTAAAGCATCCCTCAGGTGCCTGGAGTTTGCAGAATTGCTGAAAGACAGTTCAGAAGATAGATTGGCAGGAACATTATTCTGTTAAGGCTCAAGGATTTCAGTTTGGTGGAAAATTTGATCAAATAGTTATTTGACCTTTGCACGAGCTTCTAATACATGTGAAAAAGATGCTCTGGTGCAATGATCTTTTTGGCAAAAGAGGTTGTGGACTTTTTAACATAACTGGCATTTTTCCAAGAGATATGTTTTATTTCTTTTGAATAGGGAATTTCCATGACTTGCACATATGGAGGTGGCCTTCAAGCCAAGCCTGAAACTAGTGGTATCTTCTGTCTTTGTTTTTGTTGGCAAACATGGTATCAGAGAGCTCTTTAAAGTAATAAAATAAAACTGACATTGCCTTGTAACCAGCAGATACTGCAATCAGGTCTTAAAAACAAAACAAAGCACTAAGGTTCTCCAGCAACAATTCAGTAAAACAAAAAATTGTCAGTATTATCTTCTGTGTGAATTTTGGAACTCTGGTTAGACTATAAATAAATACTAGAGCTGAAGGTAAGTAAATCTGTGTTTGTGTACATATTAAATGTAAATAGTATAGAAGAGAATAAACTCATATTGCTAAAATATTAATCTTATTTTAATTTTAAAAAGACTTTGGCTTTAAGAAGGTTTTTTGCCTCCTAGAATCTGAAATGTTATTTATTCTCTCCCTTAGGAGCTACTTACAGATTGCTGTTTAATCCCCTTCTCCCAGTATCTCACTGCATTGAACTAATACCATGCAAAGAGGTAGTAACTTGTCTCTAGTTGAAGCAAGTGGTTGTTTTCTTTTTCATACATTGGAAAATCATATTCAAAGTTGTAAAGACAGCACCTCACTGGGTCTTTATGATCAGTTGCTTCTCTAACATGGACCCTAAAACTTGCTAATGTTGACATTTTTCCTGTGACATCTTTGAATTCTCTATTAATTGAATTCAGTGTTGGACGTTTCATTATTTTACCTAGTTCTGGTGTAAGGATGGCTGACCAGTAGTTCTGCAAAAAATTCCATGCTACACTTATAATTCTTTTTCTTCTGCAACTTCTTTTGTACTCAAAGAACTATGCAACGTTAATATTACCAAGCCAGGTATCATAATTCAATATATTAGAGACTCTTAAAGCCAGATTAGCTTGCCAGTTCATTTAAAAATTTGAGCTGCATGACTTCTTTTATTCTGCCTTTTGTTTTCAGTTGCTTGTATCATTAGGAAACCATCATCTCTGCAGCTGACATTTTTTAGGCTTGTTCTTTGCTGTAAAATGTGTGATTTTGTTGGGTGTTTTTATTGTTTGGATAAAGTTGGTTTGGCCATTTTCAAGCATAAATAAAATGAACAAATGTTATCCCATTTTAAGGTTCCTGACTTTTTAGTGCAATTTTAAATATAAATAGGCAAAATATGATGGAAATAGTTGAAATAGAATGAATGTTTTTCAGAGGATGTAACTCTTCTTGGTAAATGCTTCTTTACTGTAAAAAATGTGAGGTCAGACTTCACCAAGCATAAGCAAGTGCTAGAAGAATTAAGGAGCAATGCCCTGAGAAATCTCAAAATATGGTTGATGGTAAGAAAAGACTAAATGTTTGTTTGTTTGTTTATTTGTTTAATGGGGTCCTCAATTCTCATTCTATAAATGCTTGATGCCTTCATAAATAACCCTACCTGGAAAAAATCCTAGAGTTGGAGAGTACTAAATAAAGGGTTGGTTACTTCTAGAGAACAATCTGGATTGCCTGATTTAAATGGCCACAATCCAACAAAATATATGCTAATATATCCAATATGAAATAAGACATCTGTGAGGAACAAATGCAGATCATACCTTCAAGATAGAAAAAACTCTGTCTTGGAAACAGATATAGAGAAATTTTCATGCATCCTCAACAAAATATCATAGCTTAAATGCTATTCAGGTTCATATGTACACAAATAAGTTGAGAAATTTTGTGTGAAGCACTGACTTAAAATTAAAATACAAAACTCCACAATCCAAGACTTCTAGAATACTGTGTCCAGTTTTGATGGTTAAGTGTGAGAAGGGAGGGGAAATAAGAGATGGAAGGAAAGCCACAAAAATGAACAGGACTTGCTTAAACAGTAAAGTAAACAAGACTCTTAGAAATAAGTCATCTTTCTGAAGCAGGAGTTGTATCCAAATGAGGAGAATAGGAAAGAGCATTAACTTTGGCAAGTTAAATATAAACCATAATGAGGTAGACCAAAAAAAATGTTGAGGAACAACTTTATAAAGACATTAAAAAAAATAATAAAGCTTTTTGTCTAACTGTCAAAAGCAGAAAGCCTGTCAGAGACCCCAATGAGCTGATAGATATTCATAATATTACATGTGAGCTAAGGGAAGGTAAAGCTGTAGCAGAGAAGTTATTTGCATTGCTATTCACTGCAGAACAGTTCCCATGAGGGGCCTTCATTTCCAGGGGACAGGCTGGGGAAAACTGACAGAAGGTTGACGTTTTGGAGCGAATCAGCACAAAGAACTGCTAGGAAAAGTTCTCACTTTGTGAAGAACTCGGTGTTGGAGTTGCCGAGTTACACACGATTGTGTATAATCATTGCTTAAATTGGCCTCAGAATGCAAGAATGAAAAGCAGTTAAACGTGCTGGGCTTTTCAAGAAGGGCCTGTGGAGCATTTGGAAAACTGGGAACTACCAGCGAGCCTGGTTTCTGTCTTAGGCTCCTCTTAGAACCTATAAAGAAAGAATAGAATTAGTGTTCATTCGCAGGAATAAAGGTGATGACAGAGGGGAGACGAGTTGTCTTCTGCAGCAGGAATTCCTGCCCTGTAAATCTGCTCGTGTTGTTTGAATGATTGGATAAGCATTTGATAAAGGTGATTTAACTAATGCAGGATGTCTGGATTTCTTCTTCTCAACAAAAAAAAACCACATAAAAAACCCCGAGCAAACAGAAAACCCCCCCAAAAAATCCCACCGAAGACCAACCAAACCCTTGGTGTTTCAAAGACTTTTGAAAAATTAAATTGGTGTAGTCCTGTAGTGATTAGGTAGTGACTATGTAAATAAAGATTAGAAACTTTATGGGAAAAATAAGATATACAGTATATGGAAAAAAGTAAAATTGGACATTACAGGGATGTTACCCCTGGAGCCTTCGGGAGAAAGAGTGCTGGGATCTCTGCTGTTCCAAGTGCTCATAAACTATCCGGAATGGAGGATGAGTAATAAAGCACTGACACATTTTTCCAGGTGGTAAGATCAAAAGCTGACTGTGAGGAACATCAGAGGGATCTCGCAGCAGTAATTGATGGGGCAAGAAAATAGCAAGCCAAATTAAGTTCTGATAGATATAAGATAGTGTTTGTTGAGAAGATTGATCTGACAGTGTATACCTAATGATAAACTTAGTTATGCCTTGCAAATTGGGCAAGAGATCTTGGAATTACTGTGGTTTGTTCTGGGACTTATCGACCAACAGTTCTTAAAAGACTGTGGACATATTAGGAGATAAATGCAGGAAGCCCAAGAATGTGTTATGACACTGTGTGAATACCTCCATCTTCAATAACCCATCTAATTCTCTTCGACCGACTTTGAAACAGATTTAGAAGAATTAGCAATGTATAGTGGTAATAAAGGTGAAGCAAAAACATGAAGCTATTTCCAAGCTTGGAAAGATTGAATAGACTTACTTTCCAGTTTGAGGTAGAGCAAGCAGAAGATATTCACAGGTCTGTGTAACATAGTAAATCACATGGTTTGGCAAGATTTGGAGGTATTAAATGCAAATATGGTGCACCAGGTTTAAAATAAAGGTGAGTGCTATTTCATGCTATTTCCAGTTACATTTTCTTGAGAATGTGTTCCGTAGTGGGCAAAATATAAAAAAAAAAGAGATTGACTTGTTCTATAGACTTTAAGTATTCAGCAACAGTCATGGAACTCTCTTAAGGTATAGGAGGCTGGAACCTAAATGGATGTTGAGGGCAGCATGTAGCTTTATATATTCCCTGTTTCTTAGGCTTTTTACTGAAATATTGACCAATGCACACAGACATGGAGCACTGGGCAAAATGCACGTCTGGTCTAATCTGTTGTTCCCTTGCATGTGTTTTCTGTGTTTTTTAATAATTATGCCATAAGGGCAGAGAGACATATCTACAGAAAAACGTGATGTGATCTGAGTGTCAACAGTGGCTGCCCACGACGAGAAATGGATGTGTGATCTCAGTCCTGCATCTCAGTGTGGGGCTGCCCAGCTCACTGTAAATGAAGGGGTTATCTCATTTTTCACTTTCCAGGACTTACGATTCTGCCTCTTGCAGATCAACCAACAGCAGACAATGACTCAAAGTGCCTGAAGGAATTTTACTGGGTTTGGAATGGTACAAAGAAAATGACAAACATCTTTGGTAAAATGGCATCAGTAGGTCAGTGAATTAGACCACTATGTTCAGTGAATTACACTATTTTAGTACTTCTGAGGTCACCTACAAGTCTGGAGCTCGTGCTTTGACCTTTTTGTGGAAGGCACTAACTTGTGTTTGCAGTGGTAACGCTGCAGTCTCCTG